TTTTTTTTTTTTTTTAGCAAAGCAGATATGGTCATAACACTTAGTAGCTTGATATAAAACAGTAAAAACTACAACTCTGATTAAAGCTATCAGCTACTTAAAGATCTTCAAGAAGCAGCCACGGTGCATGCTCAGGATCTAACTTACATGTGGACTTTATGATATGGAAACCACAAATACGCACATTGCACATCATGAATGAGCTGCACAGTGGGCAAATGATATCTCTCCTATATAATCTGAGCAGAAAGACCACATCAGGTCTGAAAACCAAACACAAATATCGAACTCGAAACTAGCATAAGCTAAGCAAGTAAGGAGGTTGCACGAATAAAGTACACAAATCTGGGCAGGGGAACACAAAAAGCCGACTCTACTCCTCACAGTCACCGCTAATTCCTGTTCAGCTGGTGGCAGCAGGTCAGCCATACAGAAAACTAAATTGTGCTCAGTCTGTCCCCTTGGGGCCAAAACTCCCCAGGTGTGAAGTGACTATCTCTAGAAACTGTGACTGACTGGGGACTGTGAGCACAGCACATCCACCTGTACAACAGCACAGCGAGATGGGTGGTAACAGCAGACACAAAACGTAACTTCTAGGTCTGGTCCTGAGAGGCCAAACCTACAGATCCTGCCCATTTGTCCCAGAGGTTTGCAGATTTGGGCCCAGCCTGCCCAAATCATAGCTTACCAGTTTTCAAGTTCCTTCTGCCTAGGAACTACCAGAATGCTGCTGCGTGCATTTTACATATAGGGGTACAGACAAAAAAAACCCCACACACCTCTCAAAACCCCCACCAACCAAAAAAACTCCACGCTCTCACCATCTCACAGAATCACAGAATCTTCTAGGTTGGAAGGGACCTTAAAGATCATCTTGTCCAACCGTCAACCTAATTTTGACAAAAATGAACATCCACACAACAAACAAAAAGCAAAATCTCCTGCCTGAATGTTTTTAAATCTCTCGTTACAAAAGACCCCTAATGTTCCTAGAGCGCAAAGATGCTAGAATTTGGCTGGTACTGGTTTTTACAGGCTGACAGCAGCCGACAACTTGCTGGTTTCCCTGTGCAGTACTTGGTTTCCCCTGTTTGCGTGGGCATTCCACACCACAACAAAGGAAAGAAAAGCATTTTGAAAAGGAGGAGAACATAGTTCTTAAACCACAAGAATTGCCCTAGGGGCAGGTGTAATACCTAAAATTACTTGAAATTCAGTCAATAAAAAAGAGTTTAAAGTAATTTCTGACTGTGTATCTTTACTATAACATCATTAGAGAGACCCTCCAATAAAGTTGAATTTTAAAAATGACTCATTTGCAAAACATGTTCCTTTAGCAATGCTATGATTAAAAGTGCTTTCAAAAGCAAACTGAAAGCCTTGTATTTGAGGCTTTTATCTCTGTGCTCTCTTTTATTTATTCTTTGCTCCAGATCCTCCGTATCATTGCTCCCGATCCTGAGTCTCAGAAGCTGCAGATGAGCACACCTCTGTGGGAAGCACTGAAGGTGAGCAGATTTCTATCAGCTGGAGGTCTGGTCATCCAGTGGTTTCACTAACCGGCAGGAGAAAAGAACAGTGGTGTGCAGAAACTGATGCCCACACCCAGCCATAGTTTAAGACTACATTTGCCAGAATCATCAGACTGTTGGGCTCTAACTCACATCTTGCCTGACCTTCTTCACAGCTGTCTTTTTAGAGGCACAAGGGATGGAAAATCACTTGCTGATGTGGTACCCGCAGGTGAAGAACCAGAAAAGGCTGTCTTAGGATTTGCACTAGAGCAGAGCTCGCTGTGAGGCCCGGCCTAAGCAAGACAAGGGCTGCTGGTGTCACCCCAGACACATCCCACAGCAACAACACGGCTGCCACAGAAACCATGGGCTGAACATCCTTTGACTCAAATACAGAGAAATAAATTAGAGCAGTGAAGTCAATGAGAGAGAGCGGTGCTGGGATGCAACCAGCTCTATTGTGAATGATGTACATCCTTACTTCACTCGTAATGGGCTTGGGGCATGGGGGTTTCTTTCAGCTTTGTCACAGGCATCAAAGGTTCATTTTTGAGTGACTCAAACTGAGCAATTATGTTTTGAGGTAATTTAGCAAGATTAATGGAAAAGAAATTTTCCTGAGTAGATCACCACATGAACATTCAACAAAATCAAAGGTCAAACCCCCAATAACCCAGCCTAGATGTGAAATCTGGTGCGTGAGAGATTTCAGAGCAGCATAGGATGGAAACCTCAGAGGTGCCCAGGCAGGGCTGAAGCTCTCACGCTATCCCCTCAGAGAACTGAGCCACAGCAACTTGCATTTAACAGTTGTTAGGATGCTTCTTTTGATTAATAATGTCTCAGTTTGTTCTTGTCAGTCCATTGCAAGACCGCAGCTCCCAAATGCAACACCATTTTTCATGGGCTAGAAACAGGGACGAGTTTCAATAAATCCTACCAGATCGTGGTCTCATCACATGATGCTCTGTTTTACAGGGTCTCAAAAGTTTGTCTAGCAGCTTAGCTGGGAGATCTGGGAAACGCCTTTCCCGTGTGCTGTGGAAAAGCCAGAAGCCCTCCTGGGGAAAAGCGAGGACAGGAAGGTTTCACAGCCACATTTGAGAGCTGTGTTTCAGAAAAGAAACAGTTTCTCTCCTGAAAATACACAATTAAATTGCAAAACGTATGGTTAAACTGCAAATGAAATCACAAAAGATTTCCTTCAAGGCCTCTTGCTGTAGATGTGGGAGAAATGGGCAGATTCTCAGGGAAGTTCTGCTCATCGCAGACAAAATGCCATCTCCTTGAAGGGGCTGGCAGTGGGGATGGTAAACTGGGCTGGAGGAGTACTGGCAACATAATTCATTAATTTAACTGAGGTAGCCACATTAAGGATGAAGCCTGTGGCAGACTGAAATTTGCAGCCGAGAAATGCAAGAGTCAGTGAAGAGGATCTGGAAAGAAACTACCTCAGAAAGGCAACACTGGATGTGCCATGTCCATCGCAGCGCTCGCCAGGCAGCAGGCGCAAGGAAGAAGTCAGAAACCAGAAAAAGCCTTTTCACTCCCCACACTGCCCCAAGGGACATTTGGGGTTCTAAGGGTTTTCCGGAAATGCACTTTTCTGCCATCAATAACCATGCCAAATGAGCTGCTGCTGCCTATGGCGAGAGAAAGACAACAGCTAATTGGTTAAATATTTTGCATAAATACTTATAAAAGCATCAAAAAAACTTAAAACCACTTCCAATTTATTGCTTTGGCACTTGAACTGTGGAAGTACTGGAGAAGGAGGAAAGGGATTAGTGAATAGTGTGTTTATGGGACTGCTGCCACCCAATGTCAAGTGAGAGTATAAATATAATCAGAAAGACCACAGAGATGGGATTTCAACCAAAGGCCTTCTAGGTTTAGAACAATAAATATCTTTAATCAGCTATGCTTAAAGGCGCAAAAATCCCTCTGCTGGGATTATACCCCCTCCCCTTTTTTCAGGATTAACTTTCCCCTCTCTCAGTGAGGGAACTGCTTATCTCAGAACAAAGCAACGCGCATTAGACTTTATATTGCAAAACATGGTCATGTTAGAAAGACAAGAGAGTTCCTCTGTAGGAGCAGCAACTGGTGAGTCCCAGCTCTCCATCCTTCAAACCAAGGGTATTTATGCCTCTATCCTCTAACGCTTGACTTGTTACTGCAAGTATTCCTGTTCACATCTGATGGAGAGCATTTGTAAGGTCAATCCTAAAACACCAAAGCCATTCAATTATTCATGGTATTTGATCTCTGTGCAAAGCTATCCTATAATAGACATTGTCACCTTTGAAGAATCAGAAGTAATGACTCACAAAGAAACCTAAAGAGAGTCTGGCACACAGTGCTCAGTTTTCTGGGAGAGGAAGAAATCGATGCAGGTCACTGAAACTCCCAAACACCCAGCTTCACTGATAGGTGCTTGTCTGTGAATAAGATGCCAGGTCAACCTACTTGTGCAATGAAAAGTAAGAGACTTGCAAATCGGGCTGCTACAGTTGGCATGAGAGTTGTCATGCAAACAGCAAGTTTTTGGGATGCAGTGGATTTGCGAAACACATCCCAGCAAGGGTCACGTTTGGGTTCTGACATTTCTGTTTAGTCCTTCCAGATGTCAGACGCACAAAAAGCAAAACAGTGGTGTTGGGGGAATGCAGTACCAAGACAGTGCCATCTTCCATTTCTGCTGGGACACCGTTCTTTTGAGACGCTGCCATGTCAAATACACATCTCCCCCTTTATGAAAAATGACTTTACATTTTCATAAATATACCTGTGCATGCCACTCTGTAATTACAGAGAGGTCTAAGTGCCATTTCCAAAGATGCCGAGATGCAGCATTTACCACGCACAAATTGTGCTCCAACTAAAGTCATTGCCACAGCTTCAATTAAAGTAATTTGCCACTGCCCCTAATGGCCGGTACTGTCACCAAAGTCTCAAAACGAGTCCTCGGTGGCCAGTCTAAAGGATCGTCAAGCCATGTTTCTGCTCTATCGCATGCAAATCAGCCCTGGGTTTCAACAGAAGCTACACATGCAAAACGCAGATAAAAGGAGACTCCAGAGAGGATGTGTTAATTACTCCGCTTCCCTCATATGGTGCTCAGACACCATACAACAGAGATGCTGCGCACCGAGTTGAAGAGATGAGCTAGTAATTAAAATACGGGAGACAATGTAAACATTATATCCTAAAACATGCTGCAGGAAGCTTTACTTTTCTAACCCTTTTCTCCTCTTCTTCCCTACACCGGTTCCCTGGGCACCCGAACAGACGCGGCTGGGCGGCTGCCGCCGGCGCCGTTCTCGGAGGGACGAACCTTCATTTTTGCAGAATTTAAGCCAATTTCGCTGCACAGCGTCAGCCGAGAAGGAGCTGCGCCGGCGGCCGGGCTCGGCCGACCTCTCCCGGCCCGCAGCCCTCCCCCTGTCTCCGGTCCCTCCCGGGGCCGGTGCCCGCACTCACCTGCCGGCAGCGGGCGGAGGCCGCGCACCGTGTTGCCCCGGCGGAGTTGCCCGGTCGGCTCCCGGGGCCGCGCCGCGGCCGTC